GAGATGTAGTCATATGCAAACGGTACAATGTTATCGTCAGAAACAGTTGAGTTTGAGTTGTCCTCAGCATTATTTATTTATTAGTATTTTATATATTTGTAAATTTTATTTGTATTTTACAAAATACATCGAATCAAAATACTTATGAATTGACGATAAAGGAAGATTGTTTGAAAATACTAGACATAAAAGACAATACTAGACATGAAAGAGTATAGTTTTAGGTATTTCAAGGATCGATTACTTGAAATGCCGCTAAAATCCATATAAACCTATCCCAACGATCGATTACGTGGGGATATCTACAGCTTATTTACGCGTGAAAAACATCCTAATCCCAAACTCGATTATGGGAAAATATTAGAAATCGATTCCTCAATTGGTATTCCAGTTACCCAAGAATCGATTATGGGTAGTCTGGAAGCGCCTGCCTCTAAGAACTCGATTACTTAGAACAGCAGTGACGTAGTTTGCATCAAACACGAACCGGTTGATTCTCGTATTTGATCTGCAACAAAGCATCAGCTTGTAGAAATTTGCTGTTATAAGGGACCTTATAAATAGTTTATTTAATCAGTCAATCACGTCCGCAATATCTTACTCGTTGCTATTATCGGATAAATAATAGTAATTTATCCGATAATAGTCACTATTACATTCGGGGTCAGAATTACAATCATCAAGCTCTAATGTGGAAACATGAATCCACGGCATCATGCGGTCCGCGGCAACTGTAGTCGGACGTTTCTTTTGGTTACTCATACCCGGAATAGGAGCTAGCCTATATCTATCTCTACCTAACACTTGAGATACACGATATGGCCCGACAAACGTAGGCAAAAGTTTCTTACTCTGTCCATCATTACCGAAACAAGTTTTAGTTATTTTGACTAAATCGCCTATACTATATGTACGTGCCGGCTTCCTGCCTTTGTCATAGGCCTGTTTCTGTTTAATTTGCTCACTGTCAATTTTCGCCTTGACTACTTTTCGCGTTTCAGAAACATCGCAATTTTTTTGTGTCGCAGTCGTTATGTCACTAAGGAACGACTTCTTTTCGCCATTCATACAAGAACCGAACAATACTTCCGATGGAGTTTTACCTATAGTTTTATGAACGGTGTTGTTTATTCCCCATTGAATAGTGCCGATATGACTGTCCCAATCCTTTTCTCCATGCTTGACGGCCATGGCACGCATAAAGTCAAGAATGGTACGATTGTACCTCTCAACTTGACCGTTTGACCTTGGACTGGCTACAGCATTTAATATATGTTTTATGCCTTTTTCTGAACAAAAGTTCTTAAAGCAGTGTGCTGTGAAGCAACTGCCTCGGTCGCTAATAAGGCGGTTAGGATTTCTAAAGGTACAGAAAATATCATTGAGAGCTCTTATTGTGTTCTGACTATTAGTATTACGGACAGGTTTTACGACGCAAAACTTGGTAAATCCGTCTACGAGGACAAGCAGGTGAGTAAAACCTCTCTTTGACTTAACGAAGGGTCCAAGGTGATCGACGTGTACTGTGTGGAAAGGCTGTTCGACCTTCATAATGGGATGAAGCAAACCCTCGCGATTATTCGAGTTGTTTTTGGCAAATGCACATTCAATGCATGAATTTATATATTTTTTTACGAACTTTGACATTTTGGCAAACCAATAAGTTTTCTTCATCCTGTCCAAGGTCTTTTCCACACCAAAATGACCAATATCATCATGGTTTAGGCGGCACAGTTGCCACCTTGCACCCTTCGGAACAACCCATCGCAAATTGTTCTTGTCCCCGTTAATATAGCGGTACAATTCGCTATCCTTCAGTACGTAATTGTCCTTAATATACTGAAGCCCTTTATCATCGAGATTAGAACTTAATATATCTCTAAGTCGACGAAGCTCGTTGTCACCAAGTTGGAGCTGCATGTAGCCAATCGTCACTAGTAATTGACATAACAGCAGGATACTGATCAGACGAAGTTTCGTCATCATAGATAGCATTTCGAGACAATGCATCGACATGTACCATTTTTGAACCTGACTTGTACTCGATAGAACAATCAAACTCTTGAAGCGATAACCACCAACGTGCGATTCGCGGAATAAGATCCCTCTTAGTGAAAGTAGAGCAAAGAGCACTACAGTCAGTCACAACCTTAAATTGCTTCCCCAGTAAATAAACTCTAAATTTACGCAGTGAACATACCACCGCCAGAGTCTCCAATTCATAGGAGTGAAAATTTTTCTCTTCTGGAGAAGTCTGTCGACTGTAGTATGCCACTGGTCGAAAATCATCATCTTTTGTAGAACGCTGTAACAATATACCACTAATGCCTAGCCGACTAGCATCCGTGTGTAGCTCCGTCTCAGCATCAGGATTATATATTGCTAGGACTGGCCGGTCAATTAAGCGATTTTTTAGAGTATGGAAAGCCTCTTCTTGCTGGACGCCCCATTCCCAGACCGTATCCTTTTTGAGCAACTTACTAAGCGGCGAGGCAATACTCGCAAACCCCTGGATAAATTTACGGAAGTAGCTGGCCAACCCAAGAAATTGTCGGACGTTGTGAACATTTTGAGGCTGTGGAAAATTCATGACGCACAGTATTTTTTTCTCACCCGGACGGACCCCAGACGCACCGATTTCGTAACCCAGGTAATTAATTTTGTTACTTAGAAACTCGCACTTGGACAAATTCAAGGTGAGGCCTGCCTTTTCAATTACCTGCATTACTTCCTCTAATCGCTGTAAGCACTCTTCCGCGCCCCTCCCGAATATGAGGATATCATCGATATACGCAGTGGCTTTTGTAAAGCGAGCTGTACCGAGGATGGAATTGATCATGCGCTGAAACACAGCGGGCGCGTTTGCTAGGCCGAACGGCATCCGATTGAACTCGTACTGGCCGTCTGGCGTAACGAAAGATGTTAGGTGTTTACTCTGTTCACTAATAGGCACCTGATAGTACCCAGAAGCAAGGTCGAGGGTTATGAAGCAAGCCTGCCCACTAAGGCGCGCTATTTCATCTTCAATTATAGGCATCGGATACCGCTCCTTGACCGTAATTGAATTTAACATACGATAATCTATACAAAGCCTAAATGAGCTATCCTTTTTCCGGACCAGCAGTATAGGACTAGCATATTGAGATATTGACTCCCTCACGATACCTGCCTCAAGCATTTCTTCTATCATAGCACGCACCTTTTCCCGCTCATGGTGAGATAATCTGTATGGACGGTAGACTATCGGACGTTCGCTGCAGAGTTCTATAGTCATTTCAGCTACATTTGTGCATCCCAATTCCTTGAGTGAATTGGCAAAACAATGGCTATATTTCTTTAGTATTGAAAAAAGAGTTTTCTTGACTTCGTCCGACACGCTATCGTCCACACGGATTTGGCATTCGTCAAGTTCCTTAATTGAACTTTCAGGCGTCTCTGCGGGCTGTACGATAACTCTGCTAACGATTTCAACCTTTTCTGCCCTACCTAGTACGGTGTTCCTAGATATAACGCAGACACTGAAATAGGGAAGAATCATAACCACTAAAAGACCATCTTTAGGAAAACATAGTCCTCCGCAGATGAGATACTGGTTGTTAGGTTATCCCGCTACGATACTTCTTAGGAGGGCAGCACCACTGAAACCAGATTCGATCCTAGCCCTGACTGATGCTGGTCCGTACAACTCTACTACATCTGTCGTCCTGATTACTAGCGGGGACTCCAAGTCCGATACAAGGTCTGAGGTAGGTAATTCTTTGCCAATATCAATAAATTTTAATTTGGTTGCATCTTTGTACACTACTATATGTGACTGCTCGGTGTAAGACTGACCAATTAAAACGGGTTTTTCCAGAAAACTATCAGGCACCACTTTGCATGTCACCGACGCTTCGACTCCATCAATATCAAGATCTAACAGCAACTCTCCAATGGTTTGGACAACGCTATTACCAAAACCTTTTAAGTGTGATTGAGAGTTATCGTGAGTCAGCCCCAAAGTGCGCACTACAGATTCTTTCAAAAGAGTAACGTCGCTCCCGAAGTCAACAAAAGATTCAAACGACATTTTATTGATTAACACATTTTTTAAAAACTTAGAACCGCGACTATTCTCTATGACTAGATCCACAGTACTATCAATGCACATTGTTTTTTGTACAGGGTTAATTTTTGTGGTTTTATCAGTTTTATTGTTTGTATAACAATTTTCTGCTAAATGACCTAGCAAATAACATTTAGTACACTTGACAAGTGGTTTAGGGCAATGAAGAAAACTGTGACCTTTTTCTTTGCAATTGTAACAGCTCGAATTAGAGCTCTGTCTACTGTTGGCTCGACTATTAAAAGAATTATTATTGACAGCACTATCGGCCCTGTTTCTAGTGTGATTCCTATCAATAGAATGATTAGAATCTCTACTACTCATCAAGAACTGCAACAATTGATCAGGATCACTACAACGTAATGCCAACGCTCCCGATCTAAGAGTCCTGTCGCTAATTCCGTGTATCAAACAATCTACCGCTCGTTTACCCATAATGTCACATTGATTAAGTAACGTCAATTTTTCATAGTAGTATACCTCAACGGGCTCATTAAACCTACTTTTCCTTTTAAGCATATCCTCCAATGCTTGGCCATAGTTCTGTTCGAAAGGGAATGCATTAACAAGCTTATCTTGCCACTCTTGCCAACTGAATAATACCGAATTCAACCCTTCGTACCAGGTCTTGGCGAGGCCTTGGAGTTTTTGCATTGCAAAATGTATAGTTGTTCGATCATCCCACCCATACACTGCGGCGCACTCGTTAACCTTTTTTAACCATATGTCAATGCGCTGGTTTTTCTGAGAAGGATCAAAATTGGGCAAAATATTCATATGATCGATTTTAGAGGTGGACTGTACATTCGCAGAGGATGGCTGAGAAGTTAGACTATCCTTTAAACAATTAAAAATATCCAGAAAATCTTTCTTAGTAATGGAAGGGCTACGTGACCTTGTCATATGTCCCTCGTCGACACGTGGCTCGGCTGCTCCGTTCACCGACCCATGCTGGCGGCTGCGTTGGCCCGTAGTAGTACGACGCACGCTGTGGTGACTGGGGCTCCTTGTTCGGTCTTCGCGATTGCGTCTTGAAGAGGACGAGCACATTCGCTCCTCAGCCTGAAGAAGTCGCCGACGTTCTTTCAGCAGGTGATTTTCCAGTGCCTTGACACGTTCACGATCCCGCTGCAGATCAGCATCTTGAGCGTTCCGGTTCTTAACTTGAAGCTGGCTGCGACTTCTATCTCTGCGCGGACTCCTCGGGCAGCTCTGGCTGTGTGAGGCGCCATCACGTCTTGAACTCCGACCTGGTGTTTCCAGTCTTCGATTATCGGAATGTTGCCTTCGTGAGCGTTCCGATAGATCTTCCATGGTGCAATGCCTCATAAAGGGAAAAATGTAATATTAGAAAAACAAGTGATTGATAGAGTGCAAAAGGATTTTATCCATAAGACACTAAATTTATATGAAATAAATGAGACTCTATAGATAAATTACGAACAACCAGCTCGATATTGTTTTAAAATCTTAAATGTCAAATATCTCGAAAACGGTAAGTCGTAGGCAAAAATTAACGAAATTTTGCCCCCTTTTAGATACCCATAAATGCACAGTTGGCTAATTATTAAGCACCCATAGAACCCTCTAAAAACACCATGGAATCTAAACGCTATATAACTACCTCCATTTTGAAATCGGTTGAAATAAAAAACAAGACTTAGGTAGCTGGGCGTGTACTTACGTGATTATAAGTTGTTCATCCCACTTCTGAACTTTAAGCATTAGTGGCCAGTTCGACTAACGAACTGGCCACTAATGCTTCTAAGGCTCCGTTAAATGAAAGCAATTAACTTCTTCTTATTAGTTTTAATTACACACTTTATAACACTTTACAAACGTCTTCACTTAACGACACCATGAGGAAGAAATGTGCAAAAGTCGTCATTCCCCCGTAATTTCTCTCTCCATTCCCACTAAAAACTTCTCGCCTGTGATTGGTCGTTTATTAATGCCGCAGGAAAGATAAATAAATATAAATATAAATATTTCCGACACTCACACCAATTAGCCTAGCCCCAAAGTAAGCACTATAAGGCTTGTGTTATGGGATGCTAGGGTAACGGATAGAATACATATACTGTACATATATAAGTATATTTATATAAATACATATTAAACATCCATGACTGGAGTACAAATGCTCGTATTCATCACACAAACATCTGCCCCCACCGGGATTCGAACCCGGGACCTCTCGAGTCGGCGACAGCCATGAAACCCGGCGTACAAACCACTCGGCCTCGGAGGTCGTCAAAGTTCAAGCGTTCTGATTAGCCAACGACAAATACCCGTTGACCAATAGCGTTCGAGCTAGATTACGCGGCAAGGCATTGAGTTACCATCATAGAAAATTCAAATGTTGCCAATTTAAAAATAAATTCATACCGATTTTCTACGAATATCACTAACCCTAACACTAGAACTATGTGCTATTGAGATACCCAAGTTAAATTTGATTGTAATAGGATTATATAGAGCAGATCGTCATATAGATATATTCTATGAACAAATAAATAAACTTTAAAAAAAAAAAAACTTAAAGGATAAAAATAAATATTTATTGATGGGTGGTGATTTCAATATAAATGTAAAAGTAAAAAACAAACTATCCCAAGACCTTATAAATACTATGAGTGGTTATAATCTAAAACAAATGATCCATAAGCCTACGAGAATAACAAAAAAAACTTCAACTTGTATCGATCTAATTTTCACTAACTACTCCTCCCTTGTAGAGAAGTCGTATGTAGAAGAGTATGGTTTGTCTGATCATAGCGCTGCTCACTTAGTTTTAAAGTCTGATTTGCTCTTGGAGGAGAAATGTATGTTGTATAAGCAAAAAAGACTATTTACAAAAAATGAAATACATTTATTTAAAAATTCATTAAAATGCATAGATTGGAATACTATCTTTGATAAAAGTAAAAATGTAAATGAAAATTATAATTTGTTCATGACAATAATACAAAATAATTTAAATAAACATATTCCAATAAAAAAAAATAAAAAAGTCCCCTAATAAAACTTGGCTTACCAAAGGAATAAAAAGATCATGTACCAATAAAAGATCATTAAGAATACTCATAAATGAAACAAACAACAATGCTTTAAGGTTAGGTTAGGTAGGTTTGCAGGTTTGGGACCCCCCAATAAATTCGTTTTTCTTGAATCCCGTGACACATAAAGAAGTTACTAAAATAATACAAAACCTTAAAAATAAACACAGCTATGGTGTTGATGAAATACCCCCTATACTAATTAAACAATGTGCAGAAGAATTATCGGAGCCTCTCACTTATTTAATTAATAAAAGTTTTTCTGACGGTGAATTCCCTAACTTACTAAAAATATCACTTATTAAACCTGTCCACAAAAAGGATGATAAATGTAACCCTAAAAACTATAGACCAATATCATTATTACCAACATTTTTCAAAGTGATTGAAAAAGCTATGTATATTGAAAAGCTAGGTTGTACACATTTTTAGAGAAATATAATATTTTAGATGATTGTCAGAATGGGTTTAGAAAAAAGCGATCAACAACTCTTGCTGTTTTTAAGTATATTCAAGGTGCTCTTCAACATATGAACGATAAAAAGTGTGCTCTGGGAGTATTACTGGACATGTCTAAGGCGTATGACAGAGTATCACATGAAATTTTATTATCCAAATTATATAGGTCAGGGGTACGAGGTACAGCTTATAATTGGTTCAAATCATAACTGAAAAATAGAAAGCAAAAAGTCCAAATTGAATATTTAAATAACAAAACAAATGAAATAGAAACAGTAACTTCAGAAGAGAAAGACATGACCTGTTCCATCCCCCAAGGAAGCGTGCTGGGCTGTATTCTCTTTTTGATATATGTGAACGATCTTCCAAAAATATTTGATAAAAAAAATTCGTTACCAGTTTTATTTGCAGATGACATTTCCATCTTGTGTAAATGCGACAAGGGTTCAAATTATAATTTAATTATTAGAAACACATTAGAAAATGTAAAAGTCTGGCTCAAAAATCACAATCTTGAATTAAATTTAAAAAAAACAAAAATTATACATTTTCTTCCCTAGTCAATGCCTCCCCTAGATATAAATATAACTACAGAAAATACTAAAATAGAGGTAGTTGACACGTTCAATTTGCTTTGACTGCATATTGATAAAAATATTAACTGGAAAACCCATATTAATCACATAAAAAATAAAATTTCTAAATTCACATATGCGTTATTTGAAATAAAACAAAGCACAAATACAGAAACGACGCTCGCTGTCTACTATGCATATGCTTATTCCTGGTTAAAATACGGATAATACTGTGGGGAAACAGTGTAAATGCGAATTCACTTTTCCTTATGCAAATGAAATGTGTAAGAATATATATCTCAAATAAAAAACACACAAAGTTGTCGACCTTTTTTTTTTTTGTTTTTTTTTTTTTTTTTTATAGTTAGGTCCGACAAATGACTCCACCCCACCTGATGTTAAGTGAAGGTGAAGACCAGACGCGAAGATAGCTGATACAGCAGTTCTACCACACCAGCCATCCTCACCCTGCCGGCCTGCATGTTGCTTCTTCACGCCTCTTTTAAAGGATCCCAGGTTGTTAGAGGGAGGGAACACGTGAGCGGGCAGAGCATTCCATTTACGGATAGTGCGACAAAGAAATGAGTCACCAAATTTCTTTGTACGCGTTGGAATTGTGGCCACAGTAAGACGGTGACAACGTAGGCCAGCGCGCGTGGTCCTCTGAAGGAAAGGGGAAGGTGGGATAAGAGAGAATAACTCCTCAGAACACTCGCCGTGGTACAAACGATAGAACGCGCTTAGTGACGCCACGTCACGGCGTAATTGAAGATGCTCAAGGTGTTTAGTCACCTCCTCATCGCCTATGATGCGGATCGCGTGCCGCTGTAACCTATCCAAAGCATCGAGCAAATACTTGGCGGAGCCATCCCAGAGGTGCGAGCAATATTCCACGCAGGACCGTACTTGCGTTTTGTACAACAAGCACAGTTGATCGGGCGTGAAAAAACGCCGCACCTTGTTCAGGACTCCGAGTTTGCGTGAAGCTGTTTTGATCACGGTTTCGATGTAGTCCTTTGGATTCAGGTCTGAGCGAACTTCCATACCGAGCATGGAAATGTTGCTCTGCAGCGGTAGTGTTGTGCCCTGAAGAGATGGAAGGGGAAGGAATGGCGATGTTTTTGCCGTGAAAGCGCAATCCTGAGTTTTCTTGGCATTGAACCCAACCAAGCTCCTGGTACCCCATTCGGAAATGTGGTCCAAAGCCTGATTGAGTTCAATGAAAAGATTTTCCCGTTTCTCCCTGGTTACTGCCTGCCCAGCCGCTGCTTGTCCGAGATACCCCGCATGCACTGTACTATCGTCTGCATAGCAATGAATATTCCCAAGAGGAATCAAGTCATTGATATGCAGCAGAAGGAGAGTGGGGGATAGGACGGAGCCCTGGGGAACGCCGGCATTCACTGACATGAACCGTGAACTGCTACCATCCGTAAGGACACGAATTCTACGCTCATGCAGGAAGTCAGCTACCCAAGAACAGACCTGGGCTGGCAGACCGTATGCCGGAAGCTTGGAGAGAAGGCTTTTGTGCCAGACCCTGTCGAACGCCTTGGCAATGTCAAGGCTGATAGCCAATGACTCGCCACGCTTGTCGATAGCCTCACCCCAGATATGAGTTAAGTACGCTAGAAGATCACCCGTCGATCGTTTCGGTCTAAATCCATATTGACGATCATTAATCAGGGAGTGATCCTCTAGGTAGCGGGTCAGATGGTTATTAAGGACCTTTTCTAGAACTTTACATAAAATTGAGGTGACTGCTATTGGCCGATAGTTTGCCGGGTCTGAGCGATCCCCTTTTTTGGGCACCGGTTGCACGTTAGCATCTCTCCAAGTCTCCGGCACACGCCCCAAAGAATACGAGCATTGGTACAAGCGCGTGAGCACGAGAGACAACTCCGCTGCACATTTTTTGAGTACTACTGCTGGGATGCCATCAGGTCCACTAGCTTTCCGGACGTCGAGTGATTGCAATTCGGCACGAACCTCACGCTGCCTGATTTTAATATCAGGCATCGTTGTGCCACAGTGAGGTAATGATGGTGGCAGTGCATTGCAATCATCGATTCGGGAGTTAGCCGCAAAGAGTTTTGCCAGTAAATCGGCTTTCTCCTGCGGCTTATGAGCTAGTGTTCCGTCTGGGCATCTCAGAGGTGGCAGCGAGGGCTGGCAGAAGTTTTTTTGCACGGCCTTGGCCAAACGCCAGTAGCTACGGGAG